TGTGATAACCGGTCCAGGAGAATTCTCAATTTTAAATAGAATTAGTTGATTTTATTTAGTCATTGTTTTATGCCACTCATCAGGGTTGAAAAAAAAACCAAGGTTGAAAATATACATAAATTGTTCAAAATCTTCAAACGGTACCTGCTTCTTATACGCGAGAAAACTGTATTTACTTTCTGCGAGAGCCTTTCGTAAATGTTCCTGTTCGAGTAATTTATTTTTTCTATCTCTACTTTGTCTACTTATTGAGTTAGATTTTGACATGTAAGAAGGACAATTGGGAAAAATGGTTGGAATCGAACCTGGTTGCAACTTTGGATGTTTTAAAGGAACATTCAATGTTTTACCGGTTTTTTCCTTATAGGAAGTACTTATCCATATTATACTATCTTGTCGAAAATGGTGTAGACAAATTCTGCTGTTTTTCGTGGGCTGAAAATTGTCTCGAGAGTATTGCTCGCAGCCACTGTTTTAACAACCCATCGTCTTTTGGGAAACTGAACACACTCACTGTTGATTCGCCACTATAATTTCCTTTACACTTGGGTACACAGCACTTATAGGGCATTTTTACAATACATATTTTAAAAACACTCAAAACACACTTTGGAGCTTAATTTTAGAGCCTGCAATCGATTACAAGCCTAATAAACCACCATCAAAATGCAAGCACGTGTTGTATAAATTAGCGTCTTCTTGACCGGTTGAGTGCGGATTTTACGGAATTTGTTGTAGGATTTGGAAACGGCTCCAACGTACACCCTTTGCAAAATTACTAACCGTCTGTGAATAGCCATTTGATTAAACGACTAGCTGATGAATTTTGTGTCGGTGCAGCGCAACTTTTCTCTCAGCCTAAAACACGCTGAAATAATTCGTACAACCCAGTAAGTAACTTTGCATTTATCTGCGCCTGGAAAGATATTGATGATGCTCAAGAACGTCGTAACCGCAATTCGAATGATCCATTTTCGCATTGCCGATTCGCCTAATTGAATCGGTGCAAGCCAGAATGTCAAATAACAATAAAACGGGTCTGCAAACACCATTAATTTAACGACACCCCAGTTATAGAAGCCGCCAGTCGAGAATTCCTTCCTATTGCACCTAGCTGGGGTCTGAATGTGTGCTGCGGGCATGTTTTCATTCATGCCGACTTTGCACGCATTTAGGGCAAGATTTATATTTCTTGGAATGTAAATCATGCCTGCATATTATGCGGATGCGCCTGCATCTGATACTGCAATTAGAGCATTTACTGATTGCTGCTTCAATTAGGCAAAAAGATCTGTTTGATTTATGCTGAAAGAGGATAGTCTCTGAGGGTTTTGGGGTATTTGGATGTAGAAAGTTTCGTATTTTTTGAGGCCTTTGGAAAATGGCAGGCATGTTTTGTTAGCCGGCGTTGATTCGAAAAATATACGTTTTTCACTCCCCTGTGCTTTTTGACTACAAGTTGCAACTTCTTAAATGAAAACAGAAGCGACTTGGAATTTTTAGCATCTTTAAAACACATTTGCTTCCAAAGATGCCAAGTTTTTAGCCAATAAATACATAAATTTCGGTCTCAAAACGAACGTTGTTAGCCGCACTGGAACTTTAAAAAAATAGTCCAACTGAAACAAGCAGCTTTTTGGAATGTTGACTATCTTTAGAAAAACTTTAGCCCTGAGGAGGCGGAAAGTTTCAAAACCATCGCCCAATTTATAAATTTCGGTCGCAAAACGGACGGATATTTCTCAATTGCGCTTTCTCTATAAACAAAACTCGGATCTTCTAAACTAAGAAAAGGTGGCATTCGGAATTTTCACTATAAATGCCTCTAACGATGCAGCAGCAAGTTTGATAGTAATCGCTCAGATCCCAGATTTTTGCATTTTTTAAAATTTGGTCTCAAAACAGACGTTTTTTTCTCAACTGCACCTGTTTTTAAAAATTGCCTCTTTCAAACAAAAGTAAGCAGCGATTTGTAATTTGCACTGTAGTTAGGCGAGAGATGGAACTAACGATGCTGAAAGTTTTACAACAGTTGCTGAAAATTCTGATTTTTGTTAATTTATAAGTTTTGGTAACCAAACAGACCTTTTTAGTACGTTAGTAAAAAAATCGTCTCTGGCAAACTAAGTCAAGAAGCTTTTTAGAATATTCACTATCCACCATACTGCTTCCGAACAAAACTGAAAGTTTTACACCAATCGCCCAGAATGCTGATTTTTGTCAATTCATAAATTTCGAACTCAAAACAGACGACTTTTCTTGACCGCGTTTTTCTTTTTAAAAATTCACATCTTCTATATTAAAGCAGGCAGCCATTTAAACTTTCACTATCTTGAGCAGATACTTGCTTCTAAAGATACTGAGTGTTCAAGAAGAATCTTTAAAATTTCTGTTTTTTGCCAAAATATAAATTTCGAAAAAAACGCAAATGAACCATTCTTTTCAATTGCTCTATCTGTACAAACAATTCTGATCTTGCAAGCTAAAAAAAAGTAAACATTTGAAAATTTCGCTGTCTTTAGAAGAGGAGGCACAAAGTTTCACAAAAATCACTCGCTTTTCTGAATTTTTCCACTTTATAGTTTAAGTTTGGTCTCGGAACGAACATTTTTCAACTGCGCTCTCTCTTTAAACAATTCACCTCTTTCAAACTAAAACAAGCAGTGATTTTAAATTTCCCCTCTAGTAAGGGGAGACCTGGAGCTAACGATGCTGAAAGTTTCGCAACAATTGCGATTTCTGATTTTTTCTAATATATAAATTTCAGTATCGAAACGGACGTTTTTGCAGTCCGCGATCGTTCTTTGAAAAACATTAACAAAAACAAACTTGCAAAAGCAGGCAGTTGACATTTTTACTGTCTTTAGAAGCCGCATGCTTGCTATCTAACTATGCAGAAAGTTAACAATAATAATCATTCGCTTTCTTGAATTTTGCCATTTTATACAGTTTGGTCTCAAAACAGACGTTTTTTCTCAACCGCGCTCCCTCTTTTGAAAAGTCGCCTATTCCAAACTAAAGCAACCAGCTATTTGAAATTTTGACAGTAGTTAGGAGAGACTTGGAACTAACAGCGCTGATAGTTTTATAACTCAATTGCTTTTTTTTGCTAATTTATAAATTTCGGTTGCCGAACAGGCGTTTTTAGTCAACCGCGATCGCTCTTTGTAAAAAATCGGCTTTTTCAAACTAAATCAAGCAGCTTTTAAGAATTTTCACCATATATAAACCGTTGTTCCGAGCGATACTGAAATGATGCCTCAGAATCCGTATTTTGCGATTTTATAAATTTGGTCTCAAACGCGCGTTTTTTCTCAACTGCGCTCTGTCTTTTTAAAAGTCGAATCTTTCAAAGTAAAGCAATCAGCTACTTGAAATTTTCAGCGTAGTTAGAAGAGACTCACCTAACGATGCTGAAACTTTTACAAGAATCACCTAGAATGATGATTTTTGCAAATGTATAAATTTCAGGCTGAAATCCGACGTTTTTAATCAACTAAGCTCGCATCTACAAAACATTGAGTCTTCCAAACTAATGCAAGCAGCTGTTTGGAATTTTCACTATCTTTAGCAGATAAATGCATCTACAGACCCCGATAGTTGCAGAATAATCCCTAGAAACAATTATTTATGCCAACGTATAAATTTCGTTCTCAAAACGGACGTTTGTAGAATACTGCACGCGAACCTTAAAAAAATAGTCTCACTGAAACAAGCAGCTTTTTGGAATTTTTACTATCTTTAGAAAACCCTTTGCCCTGACGAGGCTGAAAATTTCAAAACCATCGCCCGACATAGAGTGTTTGACACATAGAGTGTTTGAGTTTGTAGTAAAGCAGATAACCTCGGTCAAACATCAGAACCATTCAAAAGCGTTAAAAATGCTTCATAATTGGGGTATTTTGGCTCAAAGAGATATACAGCGGTAATACTGAGCTCGCTAATTTCTCGCTCCCGATCAAAAGAAAATTGAGCAGAATTTGTCAATTTGAAGCGAGTTGAGATTTTGCAACAAAAAGAACTTATTAACTCATTAAAACTCATTGATTTTATTGGCCAAAAAACAGTTCAACTACCAATTACAGAATTTGAATAGTGCATAAATGTTCCAGCAACGGTTTATAATCCTTTAGGCAGCTTTCAAGTTTGATAAACTGAAATTCGCCTCCACTTTTAATCATCTCGAGCATATACTCCATTGTAATACGGCAAATACTGAAGCACAGCTTTCCACTCGCACAAATAGATGGTTCCAAGGAAAGTGGCCAATCCATAAGCTAAAACGCTGCCCTTGTACTGACTTAGAGCTTCAAATTGCTTGGGGCCGAAAGTGCGAAACGGTCTCGGGTAATCGCCTGAAATTTCAAAATTTACAAACCGAAATTCCTGCTTGATTAATTCGGGGTTATCCCTTAAATCCCGCTAGGCTGATAGACAATATTTTGCCCCAAGTATTTAACTAGAGTTTCTCAAATTTTCGCTACATACCCATTGATGACCAGAAAGTTTTTGGCTTTTCTTCAGGGCATGTTTTCTTGATTTCCTCACAAGCCTCATAAACATGAGGATTTTCCGGGAACTTTCCGGGCTTCTTTCTGAAGCCGTCGCTCAGGCCAAGGCTGGACTTGGAAGAGTGCCGGTCGCTTCCCATTGCGGAAAAGTTTCAACGTCAAAAACGAGTCAATGACAATGACAAAATTGTGAATTTTGCCAAAAATTTGTCAGTTTCAACGTACAATTTTATTCCCCCCAAAGCCTATCAATAAGCGACCTCAACCAACTAATGGTTTTCCCGCCCGGGAAAAATTATTCTAATTATCCCCAAATGGCCGCTCGTTCAATTAAATACGAAAGCAATCGTGGAATCAATTCGGGCATATTTACTGTTTAGAAAGGGAGCAAATCCAATTAATAATACCTTCTAGCCAAACAAGGGCTTTTCTATGAGCGTATTTCCATTAAGGGCGAGTTTTACCCTTGTTAGTGGTTTAGGGTGTTTTTGCTCGTGCCGATTCGGCTATTTTAGGCATGTTTCAATTTCAAGAAGTTGCGAATTAATCGCCATCGGGCGTAACATCAAATCGAATAGAAAGTTTTAAAAACCAAAGGAACGACAATTCCAGCAAATTTTCCGTAATGAAGTCACGCTGATTGAAATCCTCTGCTATCAGCAATGATAATTCGTGAACCCCAGAACACAAATTTAAGGCCATATTTGCTTGCCAGGATAATTAAAGCTCCATTGTAGCCGTGATGACTGCCTCAGGACCCTAATGGTTTTATGAGGGCATTATTGCTCTATTAGTCAACAAATATCTGTCCTATTCTCGGTTGGCCCTTTCGACATTGAGCTGGAAAACCAGCAGAAGACCTTTAGTTGAGGCTAAAATTGCCCATTATTCGAACTTATTCTACTTTTCTCTTGGTTCTGTATATTACAAAGTAAATTTTGTTCTATTGCGGTTGTAACCACGTTTTAGGAGTTTTCGGTAACAAAACTGCTCTAATTTCTGCACGGTTCACCAAAAACATCGAAAACATACCTAAAAAGTGAAAATGTTTCCTTGAATCAATTCTGGCTTTGTTTTATGTTATTCTATAACAATGTTTAATTCAATAGGTACAGTTTTTTTTATTAAAATTTGCGTCCATTTGTCATATGAAAACAAAAAGTAAAACAATTTTCGATATGTTTTTTATACTAGGCCTGGATTCTGTTCATAAATAAATTAACAGACTGACAAAATTGCATATTTATAGAACGACAAAATGGTATGATTGATTCGACCTAATAGCAGGCAAAAAAAGCATTTGAAACATTTAATAAAATATGAATTGATGTATTTAAGTGATGCCATCCAAATCATTTAGCATTAGACGCAATACCATAAATAGCTTTACTGTAATTAACATCAATCTGAACGTTTTTTTCGGTAGAATTGTTGCTACATTAGGGCAATTAGCTAAAAGCAAAACACACTGTTATAGATATTTTATATGTGAAACGGCAGATTTTCAGTCAATTTGACTTGCTTCCTGAAAATTTCGTCAGTTTTTTCAGGATTTCTAAAAGTATAGAAATCGACACCGTCATCGCCAAGACAATTAAAGTTTATGGAAATTTTATCGTTCTTTATCACTTTGGACTCGAAACAACCCCACTTTAAAGATTAGTGATTCCGTGTCAAAACGCAAAATTTTATATAAAAGTAGACTGAATGAAGTTTATGGAAAATTAGTCAAATTTTATTATTCCTTGTTTATGATAAAGCTCGAGCTTTGATTATGTAAAAAATTTTGATAATTCTAATAGTTTTTTAGATGTTTTGAGTCGAAATAACTTAAAGGAATTTGCTTTGAAAAACTGGTTGGTTTTTCATGGAAGTTTCAGATGGAAATGCTCATAGTTTTTCAAGTTTTTTTGCCAAAAACTGTTTTAAACAGTTTGCATGCTTGGTTTTATGTGGAAGAGGCAATACTTTTATAAGCTTGAAGAGCATTTAATGTTCCGAAACCCAAAAAACTCTAATCTATTTGAAGTTTATAAACTTTTGAAGTTCCCAGATTTTTTCGAGTCAACGAAATGATGCATAGATTATTTTCAGGTAAATAACCCGCTTTTTATTGAAAATCGTGTACAAATGCAACATTTTTAGCAACATTTTGTAGCTGTTTATTCTAAAACTCGTCGCCAATGCTTGAATTGAAATCGCTTTGAATATTTTAAAAATTTTACAAATTTTACTGTTTAGACCAAAAACTGTGGAAAAAAAACAGGTTGGTTGATGAAAGCCACCACTTTTGGGCGATCTTATTGTCCGACCTGGATTTATATAAAATTAGACTGAATGTATCTGTTGTAAATCTAGCAACAGTCATAGTCTTTCAATTTATTTTGGAAAAAAATACGATCATTTATAGCCTTGAATTTTGTAAAATTTGTAGAAATACTCATTACTTTTCTGGTCTTAATGGTGATAAAAGTTTAAATGGTTTGCATGTTTGAGATTATGTGGAAAGGCAAGATTTTAACAAGGTCGAAGTACACTTAATGTTCCAAAACCCATAACTCTAATATATGTTTTAAGTCAATAAACTTTTTAAATTGCTGGTTTTTTTGAGAAAGGTAAGAACATTTTGAGAGGATTATGTCCATATAAATAACCCGCTGTCGTAAAAATCTTGGAGAAAAAGCAATGTTTTTAGTTATTGCTTATTATGAAACTCGTCGCCAATGTCGCTTGGAATATTTTATTACAGTTACTTACTGAAAGAACTGAAGACTGAAAAATCGAAGAATCGTATTAGAAAAGTCGCCGGCTTTGTCTCTCTCAAGGCAGAAGATATCAAAAAAATCGAATTTTTTAACGCGTTATAAGCAAGAAAATACAGACAGACCGGTGTTATTATCGATAAAGTCAAAGAAAGAGCATAACAATTTTCTTAATTTTTGAATAATAGTTGAAAATGGGAATTTACTGCTCATTTCCAATTCGGTGTTTCGTTGATTGAAAACTTCAAAATCGAAAGTTTTCTCTAATTTGCTATGAACAAACCAGAAAAGTTCGATCTTTGACCCGCTAACAATTATCCAATTTAATTACCACAGCTTTTCGTTGCTCATCCAGTGAACTTTATGGAACCGATGGCGCGTAATAATGACGCCTAATTTGTGAAAACTCCTGCAAGTACAATCTTGCTGAATTCCGTTTCGGCTCTCTGCTCTGCTGCAGTTTTCCGAGCGTCGAACAAGCTGTTTCCAGTGTTTTTAAAGTTGGACATCTTGGAAATTGAATTACTACCGTCTTACGTGGCTGGAATTTCGAATTTTCGGTCAGCTAGTGGCTGCTCGACGGTTGTTTTTGTTTCAAACGTGTCTTTGGACATTCGAGGGGATATTGACTAATTCCAGTCTCTTATTAGAAGCGAATGGAAGTGGAGCGAAGCGTTGTGAGAAAAATAACAAATTTAGGATTTGCAATAAAGATGGTGAAGAAATTATGCGCCGACTGGTAGTAATTGAACTGTTGAAGTAAAAGCGGTTTTAAAGGCGTTAAGTGTAAAACGCGGCAGTTTAATCGCTTTGCCCCAAATGTTGTTAACAAATCATGAGGAGCTGCAAGTTTTAAACAACCTTTCTGGTGTCTAGTGAAATATTTGTCCAGCAATAATTCACAGGGCATGACAGTTTCAGATATCAAAGGCTTGATATGGAGCCTGACTTCTGATTAGACGCAATGATAAATGAGAAGTGCACTCAAGCATAGAAAGAAGGATTCTGTTGGATTGTTGGATCATAAATCGCCAAGCTGGTACTGAAAATAATTTCATCTTTTCAACACGTTGAATTATAAATGTCAGATTCTCAATTTTGCCAAGTTTTTACTGGAATATTTGGCGCTTGTAATCTAAATCAACAACAGACCAATATTTAATTTGAATTTGAATCTTCAACAATTAAAATATCCGTACACTTGCCGAAGAACGCCGATTTTTATTTCGTTACATTTTAAACTACAATTCGGATTGAACATATTACTGTCCTTTTAATGAATTATACCTGCAAAAATTATATTTCCTCTTGAATCATCCCATATAGAAACGCTGTGCGCTGACTACTCGAAAGCTAATGAATGTCTTTCCCTTTCGACTCAATCAAAACACAATTCCATTCGGGCCGTAATGGTTAAAACTAAGAAAGTTCAGTTTGACGATAAGTCATAGTAAAGCGAGCAAACTGTGTCACGTTCGAAATAAACGCATTTAAAATCTGTTTCAACGAGAAGCAACGGCTAATGCCCGTTAATTCTCTAAAATGGTGGATGGCTCTGATGCTAGAAAATCCGGTTCCGGTCTTCCGGGTCGGAAGCGAATAAGCTGGTGCCGTGAGCGACTTAAATTCCTGCTGAATAACCGAACGGACGCCACGAAAATTAAGTTACCTGAACGTTACGTGGTATGGTGGGATTTACTCAAATGAGACGCATTTTTATGAATAATTTATGTCGAATTCTTCAGGTTTTCATCGACATTTCCCCATTAAATCCATTGTAGTTCATATAACGGACGACCAGCCTTAAGGTTCCAGGTTGTTTGGCCAAAACTACCATTAATTACCATTTATTCTAAGTGGAAACTATAGAGCGTTGAACATAGTTACTATTTTTGCTCTCTTCTGGCTTCTTTCCATATACTTTCAAGGCTTGTCCATGAGACGCACTATCAACAGTAGAGGTGTGAAACGGTTGTTATTCTGTAACCGGTAACAACGTTCCAGTTCCACCTTGGTAATTGGTTTGTTTCTGGGTGTCTAATTGATCCACTTGCGGCTCACTGTTACTGCATAGTAGAGGTGTGATAAACGGTTATTTTTCTGTAAGGCTAAAGCTTATTAAGGAGATGCTTTTTATGTAATTCGTGATTGTATCTCGTTAACCGAGGGATATATTTTAATGCGCCTTGCTGGCGACTGCTTTTGTTCCAATGC